GGTAATGGCTATATGCCAATGTATCCATTTTATTCAAGACCAGCACCAAGTAATATAATAAAGTAATATTTAGGCATAAAAGTGCTTAAAGTTGTTGTATTACAATGAAAATAGCATAATTCTCCCCACTATCGCAAATATAATGCTTATTGAAGTAGATATAGTAATAATTATGACGGGCCAAGATAGGATTATGCTTGGCAAATTGTTGATCAATATATGGAGAATATGACAGTATGACATAAAAATCTTTGAGACAATAGCAGTTTTGGCTCACTTTATCTTTATTGAAACCTTAATTTAACCATAACAATAACATTGATAATTCGCTTTGTTTTTAGATGATAAAAGGGTCACTGTGCACTTACTCTGATAAATATTGTTGCTTGGAGGAAGAAAATTAATTCCTAAAAATATGTACACCGAATCTACTGTAAGTAAATGAAATATTCTGAGTGATTTGAACTTTCCTTTCTGCTTTGACATGTTTGTCTTTCTTTACTCGTTCTTCAAATCAATAGAACATCTTTGACTTCTGTGCGTTCCTCCCCCGGACTCCCCTCTCTCTCATTTTCACACGAAACTGATATAGGGGAATTTGTCTGTGTTCATTTGGCCTCCTTTTTATTGCAGCTGCATGTGAACATCACCCCAGTATATGGTTGAAAAGTGTTTTATGGCAAATTCTGCAGCTGATTCAATTTGCCAATACATAATGTGACATGAGATTTAAATGTATTATTAGCAGCTCAGACCTACTGTAGTTCTAAAATAAGATGGGAGGTCCTTTGTTTGTCCCACGGTGGGTAATCTTAATACAAGGAAGACTCAAAACAAGATTAATAGATGTAAATATTGAGAGATTACATACAATGTTGTTTTATCATGGTCATTGTTAACTTCATATAATCTAAAACTTTTCCTTCACGATTTGTGCTTTATGCTTTTCAAATAACAGCCAGGCAGTTCTACTAACTTAATTGAAATAAGATTTATTTTTCAATTGGAGTTGGTCTCATATATTTTATATTGTTAATGAAACCGTGACGCGAGTACACTATGTCATTTTAACTCAACTTAATTTGAAAGATCGTGGTATCAGGCCCTGGTGCCTCCAAAATACCAATAAGATAAAATATAAATGAGTAAATAAATAAACCCATAAAAGCCATTAAGATAACAAGCAATAAAACATTATTACCCTCAACTGCTTGATCTAGTTTGTCTCCACCTCCTCCATGAGTCGGGAAACAGAAAGACACCATGTTGCCTTATGTTCAACCAGGAAAACTGAACTAACAGTTATGTGTGTTTTTTACTCAATTTGTAATTTCTACTCAACTAGAGATATATTTTAATTGTTGAAACTGCAGCGTTTTTTAATCAGTTTTTCCTGTATTATATTGATGTACAATTTTTCCTTTCAATTATTCAGTAATGAGTGTCATTTCTATATGACTAAAACTTCTCCAATTTATCATGTTAGATTATTTTGTTTGGTGAGGGGCTTCCAGAAATTTAAATTTTTCGACTTTATATAGTGTTAAACTGAACAGGAGCAATTTTGCATCTTGTACCTTCAACACATTGAAAGCAGCCCTAGTATTTGAGGGAAGATTGAATTAAACCATTTGAGGAATTCATGAAGACTTCAGGGATTTTAACTCAAACACAATAGTCTTCATTTTGTAAAGGAATGTATAATATTTCAATGCGATTTGTCAATGGCAAATATTTACTGCAATTTACTTTTGACAGTGATTCATTTCCCAGCTCTAATCAATGAGTTAGGGGCTTTTCCCCCTCAGAAATGTATACAGTACATTCAGTTCAGTTCCTCAAACCCACCACAGCACAGACACAAGGGAGTCACCAGTCACACTAACCATTATCACATGACATGTCACACCACTGCCCACCACAAACTCACAGGAGCTATCTGCATCCAAACTGTTAGCACATGGAAAGGGGACATTGATATTACCATGGTATTGGAAACATGACTAATGAGAGCAAACTACACCATGAACATGGACCCAGTTCTACATATTTTAAAAGTCAGGATAAATATCCATTACATCTTGGCAATTTTTCAAAAATCGTGGATAAGCATTGAGCTAACACTTTAAAACTCCAGTGTAGTTTTTATTTTCTCAAATCAGCAGCTTTACTACCTCTGCTAAGAACACAAATCAAAGTAAAGGACAGCGGGCGTGTACTGGTGGTGTAGCAAAATGCGGTTGGTCTGAGCAATGACATGTTGGATTCAGAAGAATATTAATTACTTAAACCTGTATGAGTCACTCTAAAACTATTTGTTTGTGTAAAGTTATTTGGTTATCTATACCAGACAACTGTAAGAAAGCGATGTTATTGCCTTGACTTGTTTCACGGTATACTTCAGTCTTCCTCAGAAGCGTCCAACACTTCCTGAGAAGCGTCCAACTTTATTCTACTAAAAAGACAAGATGAACCTTCCTAAACTATATTTGTTTGTGTATATAAAGTAGGGCAAAGGAAAACAATTATAACTTGGTTAAAGGTCTTAGAAGTTAAAAGTCTACCGCTTGTACGCAACGCCCCATTGTTTTATACTGAAAACTAGGATTTATGCAAATTATAAACTAATATTGGAATTTCATGGCAACAATGTATCATTGTTAAGATTCAGAGTGACCCAACTACTTGTTGTCAAGGCCAGTTTTACCAGCATTTACCAAACCGGATCAAATGTAATATCAACGAGTTTTCAAAATATTTTAGACCAATAGAGGTTATGATCTCTGAATGGTAGGATCTTTATTTCTTCAGAGGTTTCAGTTTATTTGAAAGATATCCACAAACAGAAAATTCACAAATCATATTTTAACACACTCATTTCCTTTTTTCCACTGTATTCTTTTCAAGTATAAAAGGTGCTACACATAAAAGGTCTGGAGAATTTCACTTTATTATATTGCATTGTGTGAAGTCCATCCAGAAAACCTTATATCTTATCTATGTTTATTCATATGTTGTTATTTCTACATGACATTGAAACTACACCGCGAACGCATGGACACCATTTAAACATCGACTCTGAATGATCCATTTATCTAGTGTTGCATTCTTGTGCTGATATCTGACAGCATTAAACTCTAATGTTCATCGTTTGTATCCAGTCTTTTTAGGCCAATCCAAAGCTCTAAATATAATGACATTATTTTTAGCCTTTTAACAAAGCTGTCTCGAAAAGCTGATTGCAGTTATAGAGCGGCTGCCGCTACAAACCGCAGAGGAGTTAACTTCCAGTTTGCCTATAAAATATTTAACTACTTGACCACTTTATTCGGCTCATATTTTTCCAAGGACGTTTTGATAGAGCCCCCATCCAAACTCTTAAAGATGCACTGTGCAACTTTTCTGCAGGAGGATTCTGCCACTTGCTTGACCCCATGTTTATCTGGAATAAATATAATGCATATAACTTAAAACTATAACATCTATGGCAATAAATACAAGGCCAAGTTAAAGTTCAAATATGTGGAGAGGCAATGTGTATCAAGGTAAAAATCGACCACTGCAAACAAACGTGGGAAATGAATTAATATAATGAAAAACAGTCTAGTCAAAGCAATAACAGCATCTCCATGGAAGCGGGCAGAGAGCAAACAATAACACAAAAGTTACTTAATGCTCCTTATTTGCGCTTCAGAGAGTGCACACACTTGTATGTCAATGAAACAGAATTAAACGTGATCACAAGCATCCATCTGTCATGGTGATAAACATCTTTTACACACCTTCAAGATTGAAGTTTTTATTTTCACTGGAATACTGCTTCTTTCAAAGCTGGGTTTTAAAACATATTTTGTTTCTTAAATTATTAATGCATTTATCCCAATAGAAAAGAGTGAATGTTGTTGCTATTGAGTACAGCCCCGTGAGTCACCACTTCACACTTTGAGGCTGAGAGCTGATTGGCTGAGTGAGGGTGGTCCTCTCTTTTTCACTTTTTTGTCTGGAAAAAAAACTAAAGATGTGACGAAGGCCAGAAAAAATACATGCATGTAAAAAACCTAGTGATAGAACCAGAGTTTGGTACCCCAGGGAAATGTTAATTCACAGGAAGTAGAGTAGAGTTATAGTATGATGTCAATGCATTCATAGGGAATTTCTGTATTCATCCTTCAATAATTAATTCCACAAAATTAAAAGTGAACAACCTTTTTGGCCAATTAAACAACAGGGTTCTAAGGTTCAAGGTGATGTCATCATTCACAACCAGGAAGTCAAATTATATAAAATGCCAAGATGGGATAAAATTTTAACCTTTTTAGCAATATCTTAATTATGCCAGTGTCATACACAATCTGATCTGTTCAACTTTCCCGTCGACTGCAGCAAACATCAAATCTTTGAAAGAGAATATTATAGATCTATCTCCAATAAGCACGTTTACATACACACAAACCTCAGATGGCACTAAACAAGTGAACTCCAGTCGTCTATGCCCCCAAAACCTTTTACAACACAAGGGATTTAAAGGTGTATCTAGAAATGCTTAAACTATTGAGAAATTCCCAGTGAAAACAGCTGTCATACATACAGTATACCACACATTTGCATGGAGCATTATACAGAATATCTATTGTTGGAGGAACACATGGAAGCTCCGTTTTAGTCTTTACTTTCACTCTCTAATCAATGTATGTATTATCGCTGGTGGTATTCTGAAACAAGTAGATTTACAAAAACGTGGTGAATATTGATACATTTATTTGGTCCGCTTTTCTAGAAACAGTCCTTCTCAATGTCTTTTCTCAGTGCCTTTTTGATGTTTACACTTTGTCATTACAATCTCGCTATGTATGTATATATATATATAATTCATCCTATACACTAATTGCAATACAGAATATGCAATATGTTTTATGGCAACACAAAAAGACCAGCTGATCATTTTCTAAGTTCCATAATTGTGTACTTTGGTGAATAGCACGATGATTGAAAGCTCCTACCTTGAGTCCATAAACAGAAGACGACTGTCCTTTGCGCTGTTCGTCAGAGATCACCTGAGATCATAGACCTATAAGAAAAGCAAACTACTATAAAAAGTCACACTCGAAATAAAAACTAGGTGTAACAAGATCACACGTTTACACTATATTGCTTTTATCTCGGTATTCATGTCGTTTATGGTCTGGACAGAGTATTACGCCCACCAGCAATCATATGACACCAGTGATGAGTTGGGCTCTGCTTGTAAAGGGCCAAAAACAAGACGTAATGAAAACTGGCTACTTCCTACATTGCACAGAGTTGATAACATGGTCATGATAATGCAGGCGGGCACTGAAATAAAACAGCTGATCAGTTTTATCACTTGCACAAAAACTTAATCGAATTTGGGGTTGAGCTTTAACCTATATCGACCATAGGTTTTAGGATTGATTTAGGATATTCTCAATCAAAGTCTCATCACCGCTTAGTCCTGAATCTGTTGTAGACTTGGTTTGGTCCTGTTTATGTCCCACTTTAGTTCCAATTGATTGTGTATAGCCTTTGTAACTGTAAACACACTCTTTGTGTAACAGAGCTATAGTCTTATGTCTGTACAGCAGAGGAGGAGCAGGTCAATCCAGGACAGCAGGAAAAGCCATGAGGCGCAGATGTCTAATTAGTTTCCACACTACAATTGGTCAAACAAAGCTGCCTTTAAGATGGCAATGCAAAATACAGATGACTCTTCAGTTCCAGTAGTCTATTAAAACTTTCAATTGGTGCTGCACGGTGTCTGTATTTGTATAATGATGGGTCCAAACATTCCTGATCAAAATTAAAGTTATAATACGGTAATAGCCTTGGGCCTGACGCAAAATGCATTCATAGAGAGCTGGAGATTTAACCGTACAAGCTGGAAACCAAACCCAGGCCAGTTGAGCTAGTTAAGCCGGTCTGTCAGAGGGGCGAGTCAGCAGCGCATGTCTCACACAAACACGCACACATTAAAAAGCCCACTGGCAGGACAGCCCTCTCCACCCACTGGGCCAGGACAAACTCCATTCTATAACGCGTCTCATTGTGGCCAAACTGGACTGGGAGGCTGCACATAAAGTGATGGGTGCGCCTTCGTGGGAGGATGTGGGGAGGTGTGATGATGGAGAAATGATTCTCCGTTAGTGGGAACTCAAAGATGCAGTGCGCACAAGGGCAGGTGATGTGCGTGACGCGAGTGCAGGTTGGGTTTTGGATGTCAGCCCATGTCCTCGGCTATAATTAGCTTCCAAGTCTCCAGAAATGCACCCGCCGACCCGAGGATCTTACCTGAGGCACCTGCGCTCGAAAGACGCACAGCACTTCTATTCTTACCCGAGGGGACTTCATAACACAGCGTAATGCCACTGTAATAAATGCAAAGATGCCACGGGACCAATAACGCTGTGACGCGAAAGTCCTCCCATGACCCCGTTCAATACCGTCAGGGAGGGAGGGAGGAAGGAGGATAGGGGTGAGAGAGGACGGCTGTGCATGAAGCTGGCGGCGTTATCAGGACACACTGTAACTAACAGCACCGCTATTAACCCAAATGAAAGAAAGTCCGCTGCCATTGCGCGCTTACCTGAGCCCTCTGCGAGTCACCTGTCCCACCGCGCTGTCACACTTCCTGGATACACGTCCCACCTTGCACTTGGTCTATTCGCACGCTCTGCTGTTTTTCTTTGGGACCCAGGTTTGTGATGTTCTTCGAAAGCTCCAGACGTGCCAGCAGTTTACGCGCGTGTGTCCCTACAGGCGTGATCCTCTCCAAACAGCGCGTCTCTTGGCTCTCTTATGTGTGACCCCCTTGCCTGCCTCCGCTGGCCCACTCTGACTCCCAGCTCCTCCTTTCCGAGAACCAGGAAGCGGCTTGCCCTACTTACGCCCAGCCGCGGATTGGCTCTGGCAGCTCAGGGACTGGAGAGCAGACCGCCGGGTGGGCAGGGCAGGGCACCAGGGGGGAGGGACTGAGGGGGTCTGCGGACAGCGTATAGGCCACTGGAGGTGTCTGTCGTGTGGCGGAGGGAGGCTGTTGTGGGACAAGAGCCTGTAAGCCCCCCCCCCTTCACTGTCCCACACCGGGCATCGCAGGGGGCAGGTGGGCAGACTAGTGAAAGCGGATTGACGGAATGCTTACCTGTCAGTACTAAGTATTTTATTGACGTGAGGCAGACAGTGCCCCCTTCTCCCTGACTCAGCGTTATTCTGCAAAGCGATGGTGGCGAAATAAACGAACAGACCAAAGAGGTTTCACTACTGATTCTAGATACCAAATGAAACTTGCACACAGGATATAGTGCCTGTGTCCAACTCCAAGGGGATTTTTAATGACTATGTGCAGAGTGTTTATTAGGGAAACTTGACATATTGTTACAGTTGCATAATATCATCCAGTTGTTTTTATTTATTTAGATGTATAATGGCTATTGGCAAGGCATGTGGAAGTAATTTATTATCACACACAAGCAGCATACATCTCTCTAAAGGTGCAGTTGCTTGTCGTCATAGCAATGGTTTCAATAATGCCTTACTCTAAATGTGCCACTCAGATCATTACAATTAGTTTTCATTATTCAGTCGATAAATAATCATGTATAGAATGGATAATGTTTGCTATTGTAGGCACAGCTGCCTTGACGCGAGGCTGCCAGTGTGCACCATTTCCCCCTTCAACCACCACCAATCATCCACCTACTTTACTCATTCAGATGGTATGTTTTAGGTCATTTAGGCCATTGAATGTATGGTGGGTTGCAAAATGTAAATTTATATACATTTTTTGAAAGACCACAACATAATAACAAACAACTGTCAAGTGAAAGCAAAATGATACATGGTTTTATGTTTTACTTTTTAAACTAAAACATGGGGCTTGCACAGTATCAATTGTAACACAGGAATAGGTAATTTAAAATAAGGTTTTTCAACATGTTCCAAATGGCTTTCTTTCAACAAATGATTTCTTCTTGCCACTCATCCATAAAGGCCAACAAATACTGTAGCTGCCCCATCTACAAACTTCTCCAGCTCAGCTGCAGAAGTTCACTGCTTCTCTAGAGTCTGTAGTTCTCAGAGGACCTATTGGCCTGACTGTGGGTGTGCCCTCTGCTTTAGAGACTGCTGTCTTTGACCACTATTGTTTGTTTTTTAACATTATTATTAATTAATTTTTATTATTATTAATCATTTTATTCAGCGAGATACCTCTGTGAAAACTGTGAACATTGTATTGAAATTCTGAATAACACTCCTGAGTTGGTTTTACCTGCCCCCCTGTGATCTTATAGCAAATCATTTTAGACTCAGTATGCGAAATTCTGAATGCATGACAGTTTTCTTCACAGTGAAGCCAACTGTCCTTGCTTCATGTTTAAGTCAATTAATGAATCTTTTAAACGTGACAAATGGCTGTCTTCAGACTGGGGTCTATTCTGCAGCCCTCTCTTCCCTTCTGGAGAAGAGAAGCTTAGATTTGTATGATCTTAACAACTACAAATCGGTATCCAACTTACTGCTTTTTAAAACTTCATATTTCTAGACAATCAATATATTTTAGAGACAGGGTTAACCACAGCACAGAGACTGGGCTTTCAAAGATGTTAAATTATTTTGGATTATGATTAGGTATATTATTATGAATCTCAAAAGGTCTCAATATTGGTTCTACTAGATCTGCTTTTGATACAGTAGTCCACACTATGATTTTATGCTCTCAGGTGTTCCCATAAGGAACATTTCAAACTTACATGTACTTCCCGGACCCTATACGGTCCTCCGTGTCAGGCTCCTAAAGGAGAAAACATTCACGTTTTTAAGAGCAAGCTCAAAACTCACCTTTTTAGACTAACTTTTGATCAGTATTTATTATATTTTATTGTACCATACAATACCTATTTTATTTTTAGAATCCCAGTGTTTCCTCCAGAGGAGCCCTTTGCTCTTGGAGCGGTGGTCTGCTGTGGTGGTTTGGCTCATGGACCTGGTGGAGGTTTGGAGCCTCGTCTTCATCTCTGCTCCTGGTGCAGACAGTTCCAACGGTGTGTGTGTGTGTGTTTGTTAGGTGAGCTCTTTTAGGTGGACGGCCTTGTCTTGCTCCATCAGATGTTCGAAGCTTGAGGAAAACTTCCCCACAACTTTATTGTGGACCTCTCAGGGGTTCTCCCTCGAATATCATGATGCTGTTTAGTGAACCATACACTCTAAATATAGCAAGCTCAAGCTTCAAGGAGCTCACAGTCATAATTATACTGAGAGTTGATAAACTTGGACTGCCTCTATTATATATAATAGTTAGGGAAAGATGTGTGCATTCAGCAGACATATTTCAAAGGGAATGTAGTACACTTGTGGTTATAAACATGACAAAATGTCCTAAAGTACCCTTGCAAGATAAACTTTCTTTTAAAAATCCATTGTTCTTATGATCTAACTCGATTTTCAGCGTTGTCAAAAAATCCTTCAGTGTTACTAGTTGGAAGAAAATATAAACATGTGATCGTGCTTTCCCCCAAAGGGTTATCTATAATAAGTTTCAAAGAAAGTTTACTCTATGTGTGCTGTTGGTTGAAGTGGTTTGTGCATGGGAATCACCTGCTCTCTTACTGCTGAGACTGTCGTTGTTGGGTTTGACGTGGAGCTGCAGGAAGTCTATGTATAATTTTGTGGTGAGTTCAGGCAGCCCACCCATTACCACCATCTTAACCTTAAATCTGTGTCTGCTCTGCGGTTTTTCCAACTACACGTGCACAGTAGCCTATATTTCACTACTGCAAATACCACATTTCCTCACTACCTTTTTAGAAAGCACAAACAGTGATGTATGCCAGCTTTTGTCTGAACCTGGATGAATGAATGCGGATTACACCAATCCTGTTATTAAACCAGCACGATGCACAGTGTGGCCTGGACTGCAGGAAACTATAGGTGCAAATAGGGGCTATTTATTCTTATAAGCAGGTTTGAGTTTTAGTGGCTTTTTGACCACTTGCTTTTTTGCTTTTGTAAAATAAAGTGTATATTGCTTTACAAATGAACTGTATTTTCTGTTTTAGTCTCTAATGCCAATACTGACAGAATACAAACTACCGTCTCAGTTTCTTCAACTCTATCTCTTTTCTCAATTGATAAAACAATCCCAGGACACTGATGGAGAAACAAGGATTATCTCCATTACGCGCCTGCCATCCAGTGGTCACATTCTAGAACTGCATCATCATTTATTTTTGTGCTTGACATGAAATCAGCCTCATAAAAAAATCTATTGTATGGATGAACAATTCAGGCCAACTTCAATTTTGATTGAATTTTTTATGACCTGAGAAACAAGGTCACATAACTTGTACATTTAACAACCTGCTTTAAAAACATAGTTTATTACATATATTCTGTAATGTGTTGACATTTGTGGTTTGGTTTTGAAGACTTCAGTCAGAAGGTAGCAGAAGGTTCATACTTTCTAGAACTGTAGACATAAAGGAAATGCTTAATTCTCACTACCTAAACCCTGGCACATGCACAAAATTACTATGAACCTTCAGCGGATTCATTCTGGTGTTATGGCCTATGATAGTTATTATTTATCTATCAATTGTTCTGCAGCTATTTATTTTGCATGGGCAATTTTTCAAATTTTTGGAAACATGGGGTTTAAACAAACTTGCTGTAGACTTTGTGATATCTAAATCCACTTTATTCCAGATATACACCATCTTTCCCTCAGCATCTCTAGTGCCACAATTATCATTGATGTCATTACTTTCAAATCACACTCACCATGAGATTTGACAGCATTATTGGCTATATTTTCAGTTGTCTTTTGCTAAAGCTGTGAAAGATTCAAAATAAAACATTTGGTCCTTAGATATATTGTCTAGGCATCATGGTATCAGGGTTAAGACCTCAAATGCTTTGCTGCTACCCACACAAAACATCAAACAGCACTGAGGAATGGAGTGATGGTGGTTGAGGAGCCAACAAAATGAGCATGAGACGAGGCAGACGCAGCAAAGGAAAGTGTGGCGAAAACCGAGAGGCCGAGGCTGTGAAAACAAGATGAAAGGCGCCAACACAGACAACAGATTAAAGGAAGCGCACACTCAGAGGCACATATTTACAGAGAGCAGGGAGGGACTAAATTAAGTGAGCCACATTAGTATAGTATCATAGTGTGCCACAAAAACACAATTCACAGTATATTAGGAGCCCGAGTAAGTGAACATGTACAGGTTCAAAGTTTTGTTGACAAAAAACTAAACATCACACTCCTAATTATTTAAATGTATATGCATATTCATTTGTACAGCACTCCCGCTGCTATTTTCTATTGTGGTTGTCTCGAGGAGAAAATATTACTTTGGTGTAAAATGGGAAGCAAGAGGGAGATGGAGCTAGAAACACCAAAGTGTCTTTTTCAAGTCTGCATATGAATGTCCTCATGTAGAGATCTAAACCTACTTTTAAAACGTCAGTTTTAAATATATAACTTGGATTTTCTTTCTTATACATTTCGGGAACCCTGACTCCTAAGAACCAACTTTCAACCAAAAAGGCAAAAAAGTGTTTTGGGTTTTTTTTCATCAAAATTGCTCTTTTGTTATAACACTGCAAAAGGCAATATCTATACAAGTTAATATGACTTTAATTCAAAAAATTTATTTGAGTACTTTTAGTGATTGTTACTTGTTTTACAGTATTTATTCTGTTTAGAATTATTCTAATCCAATTGATCTGTTGCATTTATTTAAATTAAAAGGTGGTGGATAATTCTACTTGTACAGAAGCTGAAACTACGTAAGTCTTTCAATTTTAGTGCATCCCACAGAGATGGTTAATAAATTTAGTCAGGTTAAATGAATAAAAAAGAAAGAAAGAAATGTTCTAATCAGAAGCTATTGTATCGTGTATAGATGTTCACTTTTTGCTGTGCATAGACTTCTATTGCTTGTCTCAGTGCTTATATATTTCCACTTCCGCTCCCCTGCTTACCCTGACAACCACTAAACACAGCTATGTACGCATACAGTTGAATGAGTTTTCACAGACTCAAATCCCTGCTACAGCATTGTCAGACCTGTAAAATGTCTTTCAGTATCTTTACAAGTATTGGTTTGAATCAAGGACACCTGATGATCTAAGACAATCACATCCTAGAGTGTATGTTATGATGGCTCTTACTGTGTAGTCTCACATGTTGGCTGGCAGTTTATGCCTTAGTCCCTCTGAATCTCTTCTGCTTAGTGCCAAGTCAGGGTCCTTTTTTGCCCCTTTTGGGGAGGTGCCGGTGCCGGTGGCGGGGGCAGTAGCGTGTCCTGAATGAGAAATGGTTGCTGATGGTTGGATAGAAGCAGTAGGCGTATTTGGTCTGGATGGATGTTTTGTGACACTTTGAGAGGGCGGAGGAGGATTTATGGATGTGGCTGGTTTGGAAATAGGTGAAAGCACAGGAGACGTTTGCTTGACTGGATAGACTGAGAAGGTAACTCTAGTGGGAGAGGTGGAACTTGGTAGTATTGTCTGAGTTGGGGTCAGAGCCTGTTTGGGACTTGAGTTGTTGTGACCCCTTGCAGCAGGTTGCAAGCATGTGGATGGACTTTGGGTCTTTGTCACTGGCGCTGCAGTGGAAGCAGGAGACGCAGCAGCAAAGCTTTGGGAAACTACAGAAGAGAGAGTCTGTGCTTGGGATATGACTGAGAAGCGTGTCCGGGAGGTAGGGGTTGGGACGGGGGAAGACAACGGAGATGGAACTGGACTGAGGAGTGGAGAAGCGGAAGGAGGTGTGATTGAAGCTTTGGTTCTGGGGTTCTGAGCATGAGGAGGAGAGGTCGAGAGAACAGAAGACGGAGGAGAGGAGGAGGTGAGGGACGATTTGGGGCAATATGTCTGAGGCAGTTGGACCGGAGTGGAGCTGGAGGAAGGAGGAGGAGTGGAGCATGGTGATGGGGAGGCAGAGCAGGGGTTGGAGGAAGATAGCGGTTTGGGACGTGGAGTGGAGCATAAGGATAACGGGCTGGTGCCTGAAGAGGGCGGTGTGGAGCAGGGAGGAGGAGAAGGCGAGCCGGATGAAGGCATGGTCATGGGCTTTGGCCTTACCATCTGGACCAGTATTGGAGTGGGAGAGGAGGGGGTGGCAGGCGAGGGTGTTGATGAGGGCAGAGGGCTCTGTTTGGGGGAGGTGGAGGTGGACAGAGAAGCTGAAGGTGTGATCTGACCAGCATGGGGGCTGGTAACAGGGTGTTGTGCTGTGTTTGGAACAGTGCTGACAGAGGCAATGTGCGCTGTTGTGGCCTGTGCTTGAACTTGTGCTGTAAAAGGCAGACTTGTCACCTGCTGAACAGGAGCGTTGTATGTCAGAACACCTGCACTGCCCCCTCTGGCCAGCTGCCCTGCTAGAAACTGAGCACACAGCAGATTACCCCCTGACGCTTTCCGGTGTAGAGGAGGGTGCGGTTGCACTGCAGCCCATGAACGGTGAGGCAGAGTGGGCTGTGAGGCTGAGAGCAGCCTGGCTTCCTGGGTGAGTCGGCCTAGTGCTGGAAGACCCTGGCAGTTGGTTCCTCCATGACGGAGGAGAGCTTCTTTAGCCCCCTGTGAGCCGACAGAGGTCTGTGCTTCGGGGACTGCAACAGGAGCAGCATTAGGGCTGGTTGTAGGGAATTTCGGGATGGGTGAAGTCGGAGGTCCGGTCGCCAAAGGAGTTCCTACACCAACTAGAGTAGGATCAGCTGGCATTCGGACGTTGTAATGAAGAGGACGTCCTTGCTGCACTGCATTTGGCACAGAAGATGCAGTAGTTGAAGTTTTGGTAATTGGTGGGGAAATAACCCCTCCAGAAGGCATCATGGAGGGTGGGGAGATTGGAAAGCCTCCTCTTGGGGATAGTCCCCCCATTCCGCTCATTGCCATCATTCCGATTAGAGAGCTGACGGAGGGACGCAGTGGCTGCAGGATGGGGCCCCGTGGAGGGGACAGGGGGAAGGACCCTGAAGGAGAGGGGGAGATGAGGGGTGAGGGCAGAAAGAATCCTGCACTGAGTGCGTGCTGCTGCTGGAGCTGCTGAAACTGCTGCTGTTGCTGCTGCTGGTGCATGAGAGCGATGGCCACATTACTGGTAGCAGCTGCAGTCTGCAGTGGTGCGTGCACCAGAGGGGCCCAGATCACAGGCCGCGGCCGAGGAGACACTGTACCACTGCCCCCCATTACCCCGCCACGCCCTGCGGCTGTTGCGGCAATGGCATCCTGCATGGCTGGCATGCTGTCATGTTTAACAATCTGTTGCACCAAGATGCTGTCTGACGATCCAAGTCCACCTGCTGCCAGCCCTCCAGCCGGACCTCCACCCCGACCTCCTCCTCGGCCCATACTGCCCCCAAGTGAGCCGCCTTGAGAGGACTTCCGCAGGAGCACAGAGTTCTTTCTCCCTGCAGACAAAGAGCATTTGTATTAACCAAGCTAATAACCTGGTGATTTATTTACTTGTTGCTATAAAATATTTCAAGGTCTCTTTGCTAAATGCAATTTTTGTCCAAAGAATTATTTGTGTTATATGGAGAAAACACTTTATGGAGGTGGAGGAATAACTCACCAATTCTATCCAGACGGTCAACAGCAACAGTTTCAAATGCACGTCTCATCATGGGATGTTCCTCCAGTACCTCATTAAAACTGTCCACACTCAGAGAGTATAGGCGGCAGTAAGTGTCAGCACGGACACTGGCTGTTCTCCTCCCACGAGTCAGCAAGCAGATCTCTGAAAGTCCACCACATGGAGTTTAAAACTTCCAAATATAAGCAACTAAACTGACTGAGTTTATTGACCTACCTCCAAAATATGATCCATCACTTAGTTTGGTTTCTTTGTTGCCTCGGGTCAAGACACTGACTCTGCCATGTTGGATGAAATACATTTTACGTCCCACAGTTCCCTCACGAATGATGAAGTCATTTGGTTGAAACACCTCAAAGCGCAGTTTGGTCAGCACAGCCGTCACAAAATTGGGATCCGCGTTTGCGAACAGTGGCATATTTGCCACTAGGCTGCGACAATTAAAGCTCACAATCTCCTAAAGGGAAAAGAATAAGAACAATAGTTGGTTAAATATTCAACCAAATCTATTTAATCAACAATAGTTGGTTAAACATCTATTTCCCCTCTGTGGGACGAATAAAGGATCTCTTAATCTTAATCTTAAATAGATAGTTGGTTAAATAAGCATATGCTGTACCTCTTTCAAAGGTTCACTGAGTTCTCCCAGGATGTTCTCCTCATCAAACATCTTTCCTTGAAATCGATGTTCGTAGTATTCATGGATTTTTTGACGGACATCCGCGGGGAGTTTATGAAACGACATGTACTGCTCCACCTGCTTGTACTGTAAACATACAGGAAAACACATCTGTCAGAATACCAGAATACCCAGCTCTGTATAAAGCACAATTTTATTTTTGTGTAACGCTGGACATTCTTCTAAATCCATATATACATTGTATATATGGATTATAATGGATTACAATTGATTATGGATTATAATGTACATATACCTTCCATAATCCATAATCCAATCCAGATAAGTAAAAATACTGGATATATACATATATATCCAGTATTTTATTCAAATTTTAATTAATCACATGAATTGCTCAGACACATCCTGAATTTATGCCTGTTCTGGATCAAATGGGGTACAGAAAGTGCATACATTGTGTTTCCTGCATCCTGTTTGTTTTTTGTACATACATTTGAAAAATGAATTACTACTTACTATCATGAATACTACAATAAATGAACATTTATTCATTTCAAACGATGTTCAACAAATTAACTTCTACACAGTAAATGCCCCGTGATATTGTAATGGTTCAAAGCATGGATGCCATCCTGATCGGCCTGCTTGGAAAACGTACTTGGAGCTGGTAAAGATTGGCTAATAGAAGTTCTTTAAGGGCTCTGTAACGAGGCACAACTGTCTAGAGTAGGCCTGTTGTAAATGTAGCTTAGGACACAGTTCACCTTCTCCTGGTACTGGCGGCGAGAAGAGTCCAGGGACTGTATGAGCGCAGTAGCGTGCCCTATGAACATGGCGTAGCAGGTGGCGCCCACGATCATACTGAGCATGGTGAGCCAGACATCAGTCATCCCCTCTGGAGCCTGGGCCCCGTATCCAATACACAGCATGTGGCTCATGGCTTTGAACAGGGCATACGAGTACTGCACCCCCCATGTGTCATTCTGGACAAAAAAAACCAGAGTATACCTTAAGATAAATAAGTTGCCACACAAAATAGACATTCAGTACAGAGGTGAAGATAAATATTTTATAGGCTCAATATTTTTCATACAAAATATCATGTAACCAACATTTTGCCTCCCAAAAAGTATATTAATGAAGCAGAAATGGAAACTTGTCTTTCAGCCTGTGTAATGTTTTATTTTTGCAAACAATAATTAATTTGATTTTTTTATAATTATATGATGTGTTTGAATGCGGTGATTATTGTGCAAGAAAAGGACAGTGCTTTCTCTTCTTTTTTTTTCTTCTAAATTGAGTAATATGACCAACAATTAGTTGAAATATGCCAATAATAGGTACACTAGGTATTTTGGGTTAAAATGTTTTCAAATCTAATACAGTTTAAGAAAAAAATTCCAACACTGGACATGATCCGGTACAGATCACTCCACCTATTGTGATGCTTACAGGCCTTTCCATATGATTTGCCTTGGGGTTAATGTGTCTATCTTCAATATTTCGATATCCTATTGAGCTGACAAATATCACAGGGTCATTTAGGAAACACTGAGATGATTTTTACAGCAAAAATACATAGATCAAAACATTTCAATTGTAGCTGAATTCAACTCAAATTTCTTAAAGAAGCAGTATGTAAAAATCTGGCCAAAAGTGCTACAGCAACCTCTCCCACTCTCCCTGACTCAGATTGCCAGATATGCAGACGAATCCAGCTGGGACCATAATAACTGAATAGACAACAGTTTTGTCAACAACAAATCTATAACAAACACCTTTTTCACAAAGATAGAAATCCTGGTTTTATTCCTCGTTTTGTCGTTAATGATTTGAGAATGATGACAAGACCTTTTTTTATTCCTGCAACCACATGTTACTTTACCAGTGAGATTAGCTCAATGCGGTGATTTCTGGCAACCCGGATCATGGACTTTCTGATTGGTAAAACAGTGGAGGGCGGGGCATCAAAATGAAAACAATAACAAGATTTAGAGGCTGTAAAACTAATTTTGAAATTGAAATATTGCGGCTGAACTACTGTTATCAGTTAAAGAAGTATTCGAAAACAGCATGGTTTACTAAATGCCTTTTGACATATTATGGCCATTTAATGATGACTTGACATGAAAATCTTACATATTGCTACTTTAAGTGACAGTTGTTTGCGTGAAACCCATTTGAGGTGTGTGTGCATGAGTCCATTTGTTCTGTGTACTAATGGTCCATTGGAGACTTTTCTCAAGGGAGAATCTAAGCATCAACCATCCTCGCAACTGTCACCGAGGCAACAGCGGAGACATGAGTCAGCTCTTCGCAATACAGCTGTGATTCGATGCCACTTGATAAAACATCTCCCTGGGCTTTCACACCTCCCTCCACCTGGCCTGTAGAGGATTGTAATTGGAATATGTATTTGTTTTTTGCAAATGAGTGGATTTTATTAATCCAGTTCTGCCGCAGTGTGAGCCAGAGATAAGGAGCAAACAATGTGGGATCAGACTCACATGTGAATACACACAATAATTAAATTTTCATCTACAAGCAACTTTAATTATCAGGAGTGAAAACAGATAGTATTGTGGTTCTCCAGTTGTCCCACAGTAAAGCCGTGACTGGAACATTATGGAAACATGGTTGGAAATCAATGCAATAGATTTCAGTCAAACAAGACTTTAATGAGCGGTATTTGTTATTTACACTTTCTCCTTATTATGCTAAAGTCAGGACTTTATGTACTTAAGTCTTGCTTCTTCTTCATGCTAAAGTTGGAGATTTTAAGACTTCTTTCCGTGTTATGCTAAGGATAGAGATTTTATACTGCTTATTTCAATTTTAAGAGTTTTTCATTTATCTTTTGCAGTGTGCTTCTCATTCCTACTGTTCAACTTGTGATGCAACACTGACATTTTCCCACTGTGGGACGAATAAAGGATAGCTTAATCATAATCTTCCCTTGTGGATGACAACTGTTCATCAATAAAGACTGCATTGAACGCTTTATGAATAAATTGCGTCATCATACGCTCATATATGTCATCGCCATAGAAATCCATACTATATTGGCAATCAGCAATTATTATGCAATAACTGATCATGTTTACACTCTTGACAACAGCTTAGCGAGCCGAGATCATATACGAATAGCATTAAGAGTAAAGGAGGAGCGGAAGAAACTGGGTAATTTATGATTTTAATGCTTTCTTGTTTTGTTCAGCACTTTGAATTGCCTTGTGTATGAATTGTGCTATATAAATAAACTTGCCTTGCCTTGCCTAGTTTTTTGGTGGGCCTGATTTGGGCTGGGTTTGTTTCAACAGAAAGAGTTTTGTAAAAGTTAAATGTGGTGGACAAATCACACATGCTTATCAGAAAAAAAAAACATATCTTTTGCATACTGGAAGAAAGAGACCAGGGAGTCACCAATTTGAGGCTCAGAGGCTTTCAGTTGATGATTGATGAGACAGAAGCCAAAAAATACATGCATGTGAAAACTAGTGATAGAAGAAAGTGTTTAGCAAGAAACTAGTTTGGATTTGATCAGTTTGTTCATTTTTTGGTAAGATGCCTCAGCTTTAAGTTGCAAAGACTTGGCCTTTACATTCATGGCCTACGCTGTGTCGAAGCCGCTGCTGCTTTGTCTATGAACTTGTGTCGCTGGACACACTCACCACCATGAGGTTCTTGGAGACCCAGCAGTCTGGAGGGAAATCCTGCAACATGGGAACCAGGAACTGCAGACACCCGTCCCAGTGACACAGCAGCAGCATCATCCCGATCAGGTTCACTATCCGCACCATGGCACTTGCCAGGTCATAGGTCATGTGGAAGATCTACAGAGATTGATTGCAATGCCATTATAATGAGCTCTAATTAAGGTGTTATCAATAAGGATGAATATGTTCTTTTTGAGGCAGTCCCTTAAGATCATCGGTGAAAATGAATATTTTTACACTGTTACAAACAGGATTTTGTGTATTTTTAATTAAGATGACTTTAGCTAAGCCTTTAACTCATCAACGCTGCAAGAAAATGGGAAAATTTCACTTAATAGGTCAACTTACCAAGTCAAACATCTTATTCCATTTTGCATGAAATAATGAAAGATATATTAAAATCACGAATACCTTTTTGATTGTCATAAAATCTAGTCTTGTGCTAAAAAATAATGTAAATCTAACCCTCATCAGAATAGCCCCAGATATAGGCAAGTGCCCTGTTTTTATTATAACACTAACAGTTGTGTTTTTATTGTTGTCATATATGTTGTCATTTAACCTCTTCGAGCAGTGTCATTAAATTACCTGGCTGTATCCGAAAGCCTTTAAAAAACAAAACCTTTCCTATCCTTTTCATTGACCCAAAGAAAGGTTTGTTCAAGTGAAACATAATATAAAGCAGTTTGAAGACTTTTTATGTAACTTTAGTGACCAAGCCACCAAGATCAATGAAAAAAAGTGGAAAGAAAGAAGGTATTTTTTTATGAATTCAGATGCAGCCATGTAACAGTGCTTTCTATTATCCTTAGAAACAGTATCTTGTGGGCGAATCTACCAAAAGCATGCCTTCTATACTGGCCACACATGCTCTTAAGAAGGAAATGGCCACACATGCTCCAAGAATAGCATTTGTTGGTGTGATGGGGAAGTGAGGTGCTTGTCTTAAATCTAGATAATCATTTTGGCAATCTGAACAATCACAGGCTGAAATAAAACATTAGGTGTGTTAAACTAAACCCTCCCTGATGCTTTGTGCCCACAGTTTCTCACCTCCTCCCACTGGTGGATGTAGCGGATCAGTCTGGACAGGCGCAGTAGTCGCAGGAGGCTCAGGATCTTGGTGAAGCGAACGATGCGCAGGGCCCTGGCTGTTCTGTACACCTCCGAGTCCAAACTGTCCACCATTAGGAAGATGTAGTCCACGGGGATGGATGAGACAAAGTCAACCAAGAACCAGCTCTTCAGGTACCTCAGACGGATAGCCCTAAAGAGAGAGAGACAAATAATATTATACAGAAATCTTAATTGGTTGAGTGTAAGTTTTACAGATGGAGCAGGTGACGTGGCTCATATATGATACATGGGAATGTATAAAGATTGTGTCAACAATGCATGCTCTTTTGCAGGAATGGTTTGGTGGCAAAGAATAAGTAAATCAGCATTTCATAATCATTCCCAAGACAAAATAAAAATAAAAAGTCTAGTTAAGTCTAGTTACAAATATTATGCTTCATTGAAACACTAGGAGCAAGAGTGTCATGAGTGTCTTACACTGAGTTGCTAAACATTATTTAAATACAAATGGTGTCTTGATTTGTGCCAGTGCAGGTCATGTCTCTCCAACCGTATACTTTGCTGTACTCCTAATGGAAAGAGCTTGAGCCATGCATTGTGGTATAGTTTAAAACGGTCTTTATGTTATTCATTCTAATTATAAGAAAGAATGCATCATATTTACATAGAGCTTTTGCAAATACTCAAAGATACATCATATGGAATTATTCATTCACTCTATACACATTGCCTGCAAACTACTGTAGCCACTGCTGCCCTAGGGCAGACTGACAGAAGCAAAGCTACTTATCTGTTTGCTTTCATATGTGGCATTGATTAAAACTATGACAACAATTTTATAGTGGACAAAATGAACACTGCTACGCATGTAGTCCACTTCTGTGCTCTGAACAGCAACATGCCACCGGCCCTGGGGTAGAGCCATTAAAGACGAGCTGCTCTAAGAAAACCGTATGATTAACTGGGTAACCAACATTAACCTTCATTCATATTCATTGGATAATGTACTGGAAATTGAACAAAGGCTTTTCTGTGGCACACACAGATTCATACCTCACACATAATTCATTTGAACAGTCATCTATAGCAAGTTATAATTAATATTACCATGCTGCCATCCAGCTGTAAGCCACAAACTGAAGAAATAATCATTTTAATTAGAATCTTTAGAAATGACCAATATTGATGCTTTGGCATTCATGTGTTTGTTTGATTGTACTTTTCATAATAAATTGCAAATATGAAACATACGTTCATAAACTATAAAGGAGTGGTCATTGTTATCGGGCTAAATAGAAATTGGTGGCCGAAAGAGCTGATTTCATATTAAACATGTTAGAAATGTTTTTCCTAAGTTCCTGCTGCTGTCAGACTCGCCAAATGTCAAATGTTTGGGTTTAAGTGATCTATATAATCATGTTCTCATTTTGATATGAATACAAATACATGTATATACGTTTATTATGAAATCTAGTTGCAAATCAGCCCCTACAGTAGAACTGGCTAAACCGACCCCTACAGTTGACATCAGTCTCACCTGTGGTCTATGGTTCTCCTCGGTCAAAACAAAACATGCATGCCATCTACAGACATACTCAAAATATTAAAATATTGTGGGGGTTTTTTCATTTTTTTCTTTTTTTGTTTTGTTTACATTTTTATAATATCAGAAAGTGAAACTGTTATTCTATATATATTCATCACACATAGAGTAAAGTATTTTATTATTTTTTGCTTTTTTACCCAAAAATGTTAGCAATTTGTTCCATTTCTGCAATTACTACTTTCCACAATATTCAAATGTTTAGAGTATGTCTGTACTCATTAAAATGTATAATGTCGCAATGGTTTTATTGAAGATACAGTCTGCAAAAATTTAATAAAATGTAATTATTTTGTCAAAACTAACAGAAAACTAACAAAAAACATGCCATTATAATCTTTCAAACATGCAAATAAAGTTCAAATACCTGCACTTTTGAGGTTAGTGCACAATTAATGCGAATTCTGAATAACACATTTAGAAGAATATTTAGCATGGATTGTTTTGTTATCATATACATAATGTTATCATAATATATCAAGTTATTTCCATTTAGCTAGTCCTGGATTTTACAGATAGTAAAATAGCCACATCTGTTGGCCAGAGCCCCATTCAAAAGAAAAGTGGTGATCTCAATTGGATATTGAATACTGAATATTAAAGGTTAATGGAAAATATGCAAATCCAGTCCATGCACAAAATCAATATAATAAATTAGTGGTTCTCAAACTTTTCAACTCAAGTGCCATCTGAAAACATATTCTGCCAAAAAACCTATACCACCTAAATGTAAACTAGGCCTAACACAGGACTTTTCAGGGCATAAACTGATCCGGATATTTAATTTGTGAGACAGAAATTGATACTTTTGCATTCAATATCTGCAGATTCCTGAAAAAAATGTATACTGAAAAAAGATTGTTTTTATCTTTCAAACAAACTTTATACATTTATAAATACTGTGGAAACGTCCCTAAACCCCAAAAGTAGTCAAGTTATCATGTTTTCAATTAGGAATTGACATGACCAGATGCCTGTAACCTAAAAAATAAAATCATAAATATTTTGGAGTGGACCGGTAAAAAGAAACCAATGGGTGTGTTCACCCCTCTCAACCCCTCCTGCTTTACGTCAGTGCGCACACCGATCTGAGTTGTTATTGAGTAGGATTTTTGAAAACACCTACAATAACTGAACGAAATACCCCCAAAGTGCCATTTTCACGTTTACCACCCACTTGCCCTGAAGAGAATATCAGATGGCGTTGTATAAGAAGACTCAGGACGCAGCCAGGGCTATGTAAAGCAGGCAGTCGAGTTCTACTAATTGCTAGTTTGTTAGGGAAAGTTAGTGCTTGTCAAGTATGGCAGATCGCTCACAGACTTGAGCCCAAATGTAGTTTAATGCTTTCACATATGAAGCACAGACTGTGTTATTGCAGAAACAGTGTTCGTGTGTGCTGGAGGTGGGTTTGGTGGAGGGCAAGGGGGTGCGGGGAATGTGTACTGAAAATAGATTGTTTTTATCTTTCAAACAAACTTTCATTGAACTGGCTACATAATAATGTTGTACTGTTAAATGTGAACTTCATGACTCTGGCTTAAAGTGATAGTCTGGAACTCTAAATGAATTACACATTTTAAGAATTGTATTAAATTGGCCTTAAACTGGCCTTAAATGTTGATATAAAATAAGTCATTTTATGAATTCTAATATTACGGGTAAGTCCCGCCTTCCCTTCTCTTAGCTATAGCTCAGAATCCACGATGCCGTCCACGTTAACCAACCAAGTGATGCCAAGGGCTGTCAATCATTGGCGCTGATACTCGTTGCTGCGCGCATGCTCAGTTATTTGTTTTTGCGGAGCCTCCAAATTCAAGCCTCTATTAGGCACTGGAACTTCATGAAAACTGAACAAAGAATTCTGAACATCCGCGCTGAGTTACCCGTTTATATACTGAACCTATATCCATAATCAGATCCTCTGCAGATGTGTCCTATAATGTGCAATCAACGCTAATAGCTACGCGATCGCATTTTTTACTCATTATTTTTGTCATGAAAACGTTAACAAATAATTCTGAAAACCTCCGTGTGTATTAATGATATGTATATGTGTTCTCAGATTAACATTTAAATGTGTTACGGAAACGTAGGTGTAGACCAATCAGAAAGGAAGGGGGAGGGAGCTTGTGTCGTTTTTTTCAAATCCTGTACCTCTCTCTCTTTTTCTGACAAACTGCAGACAATCACTTTAATATACAAACATTACATGACTTACTTACTTACTGAAAATTAGCCAATAAGGAGTATTTTTTGCACTATTAGGCACACCTCATTATAAGGCGCATTCATTTTTGCTGGTTCACCTGTAAACAAAGGCACGATGCAGTACTAATGTCATTTTCCCTGTCAAATGAAACAAAACAATCAGATAAATCAACAAACAGTACTCAATTTATTTATCGGTAAAAACTCCCAACTGTAAATAACTGTAACCCTTTTTCAGTCGTAACATTCATCAGCTGCACACGTAAACACAGCAGTCAGTTGTTAAACATTATAAATGAATTGAATTATTGTACTCTACAACTGACATAACTCACAAAATGTTTCAGTTGTTAACAAAAGTTCGTTTGGAAAATGTAGCTCAGTCTGAAAACACAGCCAGAAATGGAAACATAAGGCTCACCGGAATATAAGCCGCCCTGTGTAGAAATGAAAGACAGTCAGATATCGGCTCAACCAAAAAACAGCAACCAACACAGAACTTATATTCAATCATATCGATGCATCCACAGTTCTAAATTATTATTATTTTTCATAGTTAGGATTCACAAAACTTTTGAATGGCAAAGAAATCCATGCACCAAAGGAATGTGTGTGTCTCCAATGGTACAATAACCACAATTTGGAACACATTGTTATGTCTTTTGAAGTCATAGACATTGGAACAAACCTGGGGTCTAACAGTATCTCTGTGCTGTCCTCCTTCACGATGCCCGTCCTGAAGTTCAGAACCAGATCGACCATAAAGAGAGTGTCCGAGACCACGTTGAAGATGATCCACGATACAGTGTTCTCCTCCCGGAAGAAGGTGATTCCCACCGGCAAAATGATGAGGTTTCCCATCATCAAGAGCAGCATCAGGAGATCCCAGTAAAACCTGCACACAAACGCACACATACGACGGCGTTACATTCTGTACATACACAGGTCTCTATCAATGTAATAGGGTCTTTTTCTTGTTGAAAAATATAAAATAGAATTAAAATTATAGTATCTAAAATGGTAGATAAACCATTCCATCAAATAAAAATATACTTGAATCAAATATACTTAGTTTTTTGTCAAATTCAATTGTAGTCATTGTAGTTTAAAGGGGGCACAATGTAGGATTATAGAAGATTTACATTTTTGCACAATGTAGTAGCTGGACATGTTTCTATGACAAAATGTGAGCTGTAGCTTTCAAAGGGCTTTTTTCTCCCCCAGTGCAGATTTTTGTGGCAAAATTATAATACCTCAGATAACTTCAGTCTTGGCAATGTTGTGTTGCACCTTCAGGCATGGGTTCGGGCTTTTTTTTTTTTTTTTACCCAAAATCTTTCCATTAAAGCTTTACAAATCATCTCTATATCAGTTCTTATTTCCCCTCAAATCAACTTTCATAACTCTTCCTCATTCTATTATTCATATTTGTCCTGTGTAAAGTAGCAACAATTCAATCAGCCTCCTGCCTCTCGCCTGTTCCAGCTCATATCCATGACTTCCTCTTGTTAGTGCACAGGAGCATCACTGCAGCTCACTGTTCGATTGTAATTCAGGCCTAATTTAGTAACAGCAGCTGATGGTGTGTGGCTGGAGCTGCTCTGGATGAAGATTAAGTATGAGTCACTGCTCTCTCTCTCTGCGAACTCGCCGCTCACTTATCCCTCCCTCAATGACTTAGGGCACTATTTAGAGGTCAAGCCATTTGTAATAGTATTGATATATTATATAAGTCATGGGATTTCAGTCAGATTTTGGTTCGGATTTTGGTTTTGACAGATACGTCTGGTCACTTAAAGGTGATGTCAGAAACCTAAATTATATTTAATTTTAAAATAATGTGTATTTCTATACTATTATGCACAGTTAGTCATTTCAACAATGATGTATTTTAAATAGAGAATCGTTAAACCAATTGCAAGGTACCTCGTCTAATCAGTGCCTGTGTTTCACGTTCTCTTTACAATCTGAAAAGTATTGGCTTTCACTTTATCATGGACATGCATTGTTGTATCCTGTATCTTTATTTAAAGATGCAGTCAATGATTTATCCAGACGCATTTTATAAATACTGTGGGGAAACGTCCCTAAACCCCAAAAGTAGTCAAGTTATCATGTTTTCAATTAGGAATTGACATGACCAGATGCCTGTAACCTAAAAAAAAAAATCATAAATATTTTGGAGTGGACCGGTAAAAAGAAACCAATGGGATGCGTTCACCCCTCTCAACCCCTCCTGCTTTACGTCAGTGCGCACACCGATCTGAGTTGTTATTGAGTAGGATTTTTGAAGCAACTACAATGACTGAACGAAATACCCCCAAAGTGCCATTTTCACGTTTACCACCCACTTGCCCTGAAGAGAATATCAGATGGCGTTGTATAAGAAGACTCAGGACGCAGCCAGGGCTATGTAAAGCAGGCAGTCGAGTTCTGCTAATTGCTAGTTTGTTAGGGAAAGTTAGTGCTTGTCAAGTATGGCAGTTAAATCGCTCACAGACTTGAGCCCTAATGTAGTGTAATGCTTTCACACATAAAGCACGTCTGGATGTGTTATTGCAGAAACAGTGTTTGTGTGTGCTGGGAGGTGGGTTTAGTGGAGGGCAGGGGGGGACGGGGAGGGGTTTTGCTACTGCTAAGCTAACAAAAATCCTTTACATTTAAAAAGGAACAGTGGCAGAGAAAGGAAGGATGCCACGTTATAGTTGATTTAAAAATCAAGTAGAATTACTGGTAAAACAAAAACAATACTGTAGTTCTTTAGCGACATTTGTTAAACTGCGACTAAAAGTGGATCCAATCACAGTGAAACACAAGACTGAGTTTGTTCATCAAAATTAGTGAAACTTTCCTTCTCTCACACTGTTACTGACACATTGTTATTGTCGTTCATTTATATTTCAGTTTTCAATAATCGCAATATACAAATTTTGAGATTGTAATCTTTCGGATGTATACAACATAGATACACTCATATTTGTCGCTACCATTACAGAGAACATGTCACACACAATTATCATAATCCAGAAACGCCGGGTTATGTACTGAATTAGAGGTCACTGCCGATTCTGAGAGAAACCCATGGCTGATCACGTCTGCTGATAAATGCTGTAGGCCTGTCACAATAAAATAAATGTTATAGACATAGATATTTTGTGATACAATACAATACTGCTCGTTAATGCCAAATTGTTTTCTTCATCATTATAATACCTGAGTTTAGACAAAATTAAGCCACCTGTATCTCAGATTTGATCATATTAGAAATCCTCCTAGAAAGAAAATATTCTATAAATATTTTGGTCAATTTTGGTAACTTTTCTCAATTTCTCTGTTATTTTCTACAATCTTCTCAACTATGAAATAGGCATTCTTCATTCTTCACTACAAATCCATAAAAGTGCTGCTGGAAGCTGTTACTCATGACAATTCGACTGTCAATTTTAGTATAGCTTTTACCTATGACCACATTTATTTATATTTTTTTACTTATACCTCAATTTTAATTAAAAAAGTACATAGCGGGGCTGTCTTCATAGATAGTAGGTAGTATATTCCCCTGATTACCACCTCTTCTCCTCAACCCTGTCCTTCCCCTTCCCTCCCTCACACATCCTCTTGATTCACTGCTGTGATTCGTGGATGTATCACTTCATAATCACAGCCGTGATAAGTGCTCGGATTATTTACAGCGCAGCCACTTGCAGCGCACACCTTGATGACACGGACTCTTCACTCAAATGACACGTTACACTTCACTTTACTCCAAAGACACACACGTAACAGCACATCCTCATGTTGTGTCCCCTCTGATCATTCTGCAAAATCAGCTACAATGTGGAGATGTTTCAAGCAGCCAGGAAAATTTAAAACAGTCCCAGAGGTGTGTGGCTCAGCAGAGTCTGAGAGAGGCCTTTTCCATCAGAACATCTCAGTAGTTATCGTACTTTCATGTCGGGCCAATGTTTGATCAAATGTAATAATATATTGCCTAATAATGCAGATTAGAAATACATTTATTGCAAAGAAATGTTATCGAGTTGGATGCGTGACAACAGATGTGGATAGAAGTGGACTTGTGAAAGAAATGATTTGTTTTTTGTTTTTTTTAAATCATGTCAAAGGGATAAATGGAAAAAAGAAAAATATGAGAGATTGCGATAAGAAAAAAAAACATCCATCCATCCATCCATCTTCTTGATCCTCGATCAAGAAGATGGATGGATGGGACCTCTTCTGTTCAATCTCTACATGCTGCCGTTAGGTCAGTTAATACGCAGAAACAAAGTGTCCTATCACAACTATGCAGACGACACTCAGATCTATGTCTCACTGACTGCAGGAGAACATGGACCAGTGGACTCACTCCTTCACTGTATCCAACAGATCAGTGAGTGGATGCAAAACAACTTCCTTCAGCTAAACGCAGACAAAACTGAAATGATTGTCTTTGGTCCCCAGAAACAAAGAGTGAGCGTCATCTGTCACCTACAGTCTCTCTCCCTAAAACCTTCAAACAAGGTCAGAAATCTAGGGGTAATACTGGACTCAGACTTAAATTTTAATAGCCACATCAAATCAGTAACATCAGCAGCTTTTTACCATCTAAAAAACATTGCCAGGATCAAAAACATAGTGTCTAAAGCAGACCTGGAGATTCTTATCCATGCATTTGTCTTTTTTTTAATATTTTTATCTTTCTTTTTAATGTTCTGTGATTATTTATGATTTTAATGCTTTCTTATTTTGTTCAGAACTTTGAGTTGCCTTGTGTATGAATTGTGCTATATAAATAAACTTTCCTTGCCTTGCCTTCTTCCCCTTAATCCATTTCTGGGTCAGGGGGGTGGCAGTCAGAGCTGCACCCAGTACACTTAGCACCAATGCTCTACCAACTGAGCCACTGTCACCCCAGAAAAAAACATGATATTTGCTAATGTTCTAATCTGAGATTCACAAAATATATTATTGAAATTATGAAATATGACGTATACTAAATATTAGGTGAAAACAAGTAGCTAAAATCTCTTAAATGTTTAGCTTGATTGTTTCCGCTTTAATAAGGGAACACATTTTTGTTACTCCAATGGCAAAAATTTAGTTTACGCATGATACTGTGTAAAAGGATGTATGATTTATGTATATATGTATGTTTTTAAAAATTAAACTTCTGAATTAATATAGAAACCATAAACTCTGAAGAATGACCTCATCTAAAAATTGAGGCATTGGGTCTACTGGCTTGTATTAATCATTTCTGCTGTAAATCTCCAATAGATGTAATTAAAGTAATCTTTCTTGATCTAATCTTTAAAAAATTGTGAAACAATATTCCAAATAATATGAAGTTCTCTAGACAGACAGCTCTCAACAATAGTTTTGGTTATCCCTGTTGCACAGACCTGGTTATAAATACAGTAATGATAATCATAGGTGAAGATGAAGAGAGGCATCTGTGGAGGAGGTGTGACCTCACACGACTCTTGTGCGATTGAGGTGATGCTGTGTTTGCTGTGGGAGCTCCACACACGGGAATATGAAGATATTTTTTCCAGTCAGACAATGACGCCGTGTTACAAAATTAAATCTTGCAAGGGTTGAGACTTGAATTTGTTCAGATAATTAATCCTGATATATTATTGTCGGATAGTCTCATTATACAGAAGGCAAAACTATTATAGTCTGTTATTTCTTCCTTAACAAGCGTTCCAGTTGTCTTATCATTGTTGCCTGTTTTGCTGCATAATTTAGAATATGTGGAAATATTGACTGACACATAGCATCATCAAGTAAAAAATAAAATCCAATAACTTGTTGCAGCATTTTGACGCTGGCACCCAGAATAATGAGCTCTGTACAGAGACGCATCACTGCTGCCACAGCTTCTGATATCCA